CTATCCTATAACACATGCCCTCACTTCATTGCAGTTTTAGATTTAAATGTTCCCACTTGGAGAACTAGTCCTATTTGCACAACAAACTTGTGCCAATTTATTGATCAGGGGGTTTTCAACTTTGCTATATCCAGATTTTTGAAAAGACAACAGAGATTTCTGGAAGAATGAGAAAGGGACTAATTGGCCCCATAAACTTTTTGGTGAAGCACTTAATTTAGACAAGAGACTTGTGACTGAAGAAAGGAAAGGAAATGGATTCAAACATAGATGCCAACAAAGGACACTCAATTGTAGTTTCAGGATTCCCTAGAAGAGAGGTACAACTTTGTGATAATATTAATGGCTTTTGACTGTTTAAGTACCTGCTTGGAGCCAGTGGTCCATTTGTTTTGAAGCAGTGATGTTTTTCTTTATCTTTAAGAGTGTAATAGAGGCTTTGAAGTAACAAGGTCAAATTCAACCACTTTTGCTCAGACTATGAAAAATACTGGGTTTGAGTTTCCAGAGAACCCAAAGTCATTTCAGCCAAGCTATACCACCCAGAAGTCCTTTTAAAAGACTTTCAGAAGCATCCCGAATTTGCACATTACCTCCTTGACCTTTCCAGCAAGAGGTTGGAGCACGTGTGGTTTCAATTGTCTGATAAGATACATAGCTTCAGCCTTGGCCTGGGGAAGGTTAAAGCAGCTGGTTTCTATCTCTTCTTCTCTGATCATTAGGCATTAAGCAAGCCATGAAAATGTTATCACGGCATTTTATTCAAGTCACTACCAAGTCTCATGATGAATGGGAAATAGAAATAGGAACAAAGTAAAAAAAAAAATTTCTTAATAAAAAAAGCCTAGACTCAAATAAATTTTAAAAAAACGTAACTCTTGGTTCTAAGAAAACCTTTTATAAAACAATAAGAAGCTTTATTTCTTCTGAAGAACTGAAAAGTTTCCTTTTAACAGACAAGGAAATTATGAAATCCCTTCTGATTTTCTTTTGGCCTTGGTTGCTAGAAAGCTTACACTTAAATTTATTGTGTAGTGACAGTACCAGAATTCTGTACTCCATTTCCTCATACCCTGATCTATCTCTGTGATTTCCTATTGTTTACTTTTTAATTCATTTTTATTATTGTCACTTTTATTTGTCTATTACCAGTCTAGTTGAGCATATCCCAGTTAGTCACAAAACCCAAAAACAAAGGAGAGCATAAATTGCGACTATAACTACAAACTGCTAAATAATTTATTAGTGACATTGAAATATGTCACCATAATAGACTGACTATATCACCTTCCAACTGGTCTTCTGGCTAGGGCAGAAAATAACCTTAAGTACTTAGAAAATATATTCACTACCATCGAAGACTCAAATACTTAAGAACATAATAGAACCTGATGCTTTTATAAGGCAATAGCTTTTATATTAGGACTCTTTCAATTGTATGTGATGGATAATTCAACTCAGACTTAAGGTGAAAAAGATCATACATATATAGGCTGGTGTAATTGAAAAATACTAGGAGTGAACTTGAAGTACAGATGGATGCAAGGACTCTACAATGTCATCAAGTCTGTCTCCCTGTCTTTCTCCTCTTCCTTATCAGAGCTCTACTCAAATCACATAAACCAAGAACAGGGGGTAAATTATTTTCAAGAGGAAATACTGGTGCTGTTATCAGAAGGGGATTAGGCAAAAACCACAGATGTCCACTACATTATTTCACTCACCCAGACCATTTTTTTGGACCTTGTTTTTCCAGGAAATTTGATTGCTGCTTAAATTTAAGATTGATCAGTGAGCCAGCCAGGAAAGAAAATCCTGGTCTTGATTATTCACATGAGACTCCCATTAACCCCTGATGAATATATTAATGAAAACTGTACAGTGATGTTAATGAGTGACATAGACCAAATTTTGCATTCTACCACCAAAGTTGTGCCAGTTTGTTAGCTCATTCAAATACTTCACTGAACAGCATTCCCAACAAAATATTTATATTTTATGTGTAGTTTATAAAATCTCCAGGTTGCATTTCACATGTCCAGTATTTTCACCTATTATTTTGGTTTCAAAGATAAGATGGGATTTACTACTGATTTGACTGAATTCTTCCAATTTATTATTCATCTTGTTTCAAATAAAGCATAGTCCAAAAAAATAATCTCCTTTTAGAAGTAAAAATCAAAATGGATTATGGTAAAGGCAGATAAATTTAGTCAAATTATGTGATTGAAGGACTTCAGATATAGAGCAAAGTTCCAGAAATGTTTACACATCATCTATGTTTACTTAATGCTTTTGTTTGTGTGATATATAAGTATAAAATATATAACCCTTGAGAAATTAGAACAACGAATCAGATCAAGGATAAACCAAGTGGTTGAGGCATCAATAGTCCAGATCTTCATAAGCCAAAGAAGCTATCAACTTTATCCTTCCTGAAAGCAAACATTTATTGAGTTCCTGTTCTGTGCTTGATTTTGTGCTTAATACTTAAACATAAAAAGAACTCAAAATATTTACGGTCTGCACAGATAATTCAGGGGCAACCAACAAATAGGAATAACTCATTTAATTATAAAGATGAACTTTGGGCAAAAAAACCCAAATTTGGATTCTTATCCTACCATATTCAATCTGAGTAACTATAGGTAAGTTACTTGACATTTGAAAGTATATTTTCTGATTTGCAGAATGGAGACAAAACACCTACTTTGCAGGGTCAATGTGGATATTAATGAGGTAAAGAGTATAATAGCAAATATTTATAGAACACTTACCCTGGGCCAGGCAAGGTTCTAAGTGCTTTACCTACATCTCCTTATATAATCTTCACATAACCTCACAAGGCAGGTTCAGCACTATCAGATACTTGGGGAAACTAAAACACAAAGGCGTGAAGGCCTTACCTGCAGTGGCAGATCCAGGATTTGACTTCAAGGAGTCTAGCTGTTCATGGTAGACCCAGAAGTACTCCTCCAGACCTCACTTCAAAGAAGGGCTTGTTGGTCTACAGTGTGTGCAGGAAGCAGATGTCCAGCTCTTGGCTTGCAGAGGGGTCCCCTCTGTTGCAGGAAGATCCCTTGTTCAGGATCATGCCCTTCCTGGGGTGGTCCAGCATGATGACTGAGTAACATGAAGATATCAAGGTCACTCAGGACTCTCTGATGGGCACATTCAATCCGGAGCTTCCTTCCAGTTTGGCCAAGGCTGTTAGACTTCTACCTCTGCTCAACCCGCCTCTTCTTTTAGTGTCTCCAATCAAGGTGCAAGATTCCTGGACATTGTCCTGAACTTCACTGATACTCTGTTGATATTAAAAATTCTTTTCTTTGCATTTCATTTTGAATAGTTTCCACTGATATGTCTTTAAATTCACTGATCTTCAATGCCTAATCTGCCCTTAATCCAAGTTAGCATATTTCTCAGTTCAGAGTTTTCATGTCCAGAAGTTAGGGCCAGGTTTTTTTAATATCTCCCATGTCTGTCAGTAACTGCCACTTTGCTAAGACTTGGGTCCAAGCAGGAGCCTGGAGTTGCAAGCAGGAGCCAGCCAAAAGAGCCACAAACCCTGACCTGGAAGTGGAAGCCAGCCAGAAAAGTCCTGAGCTCGCCTGCCTATTCTGTCTTTTAAAAGTTCACCACAGTTGCAGCTCTGCCAACCTCCCCATTCCCAGCAGTCCCCATGTCCCCTCCCCTCATCCATGAAGTTAGGGAATGGAGTTTTGAGAATCACTGTTCTTATAGTAAGACTGGAGAAATGTTTTTCAGGGCTAATCTCCCCTGCACCGAGGCACACCTGTTGGGCTGCTCGGTGGCTCCTGTGCTTTGAGGTGAGGTGTCCAGTCAGCCAGGAGGGCCATGGGCACTGACCCACTTTTGAGTGTCAGGAACTATTCCTTTAGGCCTTCCAGGTAGTTCTTTCCTTACCTCAGGCCCTCTTCCCATGTGGATGTGTTGATCTCTATTTGAGGGAGGCTTTCTGCAGACCATTATTGCCTAGAGTCCGGTGTTTTAAAACCAACTGTGTTTTTCAACCATCCCAGGCCGCGTAGATTCATTGTCAATTCCTGGAGATGAAAAGATAATTTTAGAACCTTCAGTAGATGTTTGCAGGCCTTTAATGCTGAATCAGGGCACACATCAGCTTTCGCTCATTTCTCTCTCCTCTCTCTCTGTAGTCCCACCTCAGCATGCCCCACCCTTATATCCCCTCACCCCTGTTACAGGTGTTTAAATAAGCACATGCCCCCTGCGCTCTGGAACCAGGTGTCTGTAATTCTAGGTGCTCATGCAAGACTGCAGGTGCCAGTCATAGATACTAATGATGGGAGGGCATAAGGAGCCTGATTTCTAACTCATTTACTCTACAAACTGTTTAGAATGTTTTGTCTGATTTCGTTGTTGTTTTATACAGGAGAGTTATTCTGTTACTCCATCTTGCTTAAAAGGGGGAACTACTCACTTTCTTGCCCAGTTTTATTGGGAGATCATTGATAAGGACGCTGTAGTGCCAACAAGGAAAAAGGCGGGTTCTCTATTGATTTGAGTGATGGGTAAAGAGAATCCTGGAGACTTCAGTGGCTTTTTTCAGGCTTTTAATGATCTTTCTACACCACTGGCAACTAGGTGCAAGCAAATCTTTACTGGGAGGCTGGCAGGTCTCCCACCCCCCAGCAAATCTTTACTTTCTCTTTGGGCTCTATCTGATGTTCTTTCATGCGCCTGCCTCTCTCAAGCCATCGCTCATCCTCTTGTAGTCGTTACTCTTTGGTTGCATCCCATGTGCGATGCTGTCCTTATAGCCTCAGTCTCTTGGCTCAGGTGTGCCCACTTATGCATGCCCATACCACACTTCAAGTGTCCACCATTGGGCACACATACCCGAGCTCACGTTCCCAAGCGCCTCTGGCATTCAAGGCCACAGGTGAGCCACAGAGGCTAACGGTATAAAAGCCTGACTATTTTGGGCCTCCCTGGTGGTGCAGGTGGTTGAGCTCAGTGCTATAAAGCTGTCTGCAGCCTCTGCAGTGCTGGTTCCATCCCCGCTGGCCTCAGAGCAACCCACATGCGAGCAGACCTCTCCTGCCTCGCCTGCTGCTCCCCTCCGCAGTGCATTTCCTCAGTCTGCCTGTTCTGTTCCCGGCTCTGTCTCTGGTGAGTACTCTCACCCTCCCGCGCCTCTGGCCTGTACCCCAGTTCTTGTAGAAATAAAATAAATATTTTTTTTAAAAAAAGCCTATTTTGCTGACCCTACAGATGCATAACATAATGATTTACTATATTATATATTACAAAATAATTACCATAATAAGTTTATTTAGCATCTATCACCTCACATAGTTACAAAATTTTTTGTTATGAAAATTTTTAGATCATTAATCAATTTTAAGTCACAATAATTTTTATTCACATAGTGTTATGAAAAATATTGAGTAAATTAAAATTTGGGAAACTCATAAAAATTCCTGAAAATTCTAATTTCTTTTCCAGTAGATCTCTGTATCAGGATTAATGAACCATTTCCTAGCTCTTAGGAGTTTCTGCTGCTGAAAGCTCATGTATGTTACCCTGAGAGTTGCTTTCAGTCATGGGGCAGGGAGAAGTTTGGCTCTCAGCAAAAACTTTTGCTGAGATCTGTTTGCTCTTCTGTAATTGATTTTAATGTTAAATAGATGAGAATAGCCACCAAGTCTATTAAGTGCTTGGGAACCAGAAGCTCAGAACCTTTAGGCATGGGGTTCTGGATCATTCCCTGCTCTCCTCAACCTTACCCCAGCTAGTTGCCCAGTGTAGCAAAAATGCTATGCTTGCCAAGGATAAGGGGACTCTATAGTGGGTGGTGGGAAGGGAGATGGTGAATATCCGCTACAGCTATGATTAGAACTGCTGACAGGGCTAAAGTCCATCCATTTGATCCCAAGTTTCTCAGGAAATAAACACAACCAGAATTCCAGAGACTATTTCCAGGTGGAATAAACTTATTTTAAGAGGAAAGGAAATCCAAGTGATACTAGAGGTAGACTGTATTGGATGGATACCATGGTGTTCCATCAAAATCATTCTTCAGGGCCAAGGAACCATCCCAGCTGTGTGAATATTGGCTACTAATGCCTCACAGCTGTGTCCCTCAAGGGCATTGCCCCTGGCCCTACAGGGATCTTCCCCACCCAATGTTATGGGCCTTGCCAGAGGGTAACCCATACTGGTTGACACGAGGCTACAGTCTAATTGCTTTGCTTCCATGTAAAACAACCCTGAAGAGCAACTCAGTCAGAACGGAAGCTGAGCTGGAGAGAGTGAGGGCACTGTTAGCTTTTGAAGTAGCTGATTCAAGCAATAAACCAAAACGGAGGGAATCCTGAACAAAGAACTCCAACACTTTAATGGACTCTGGGACTGGAAGGTGGTAAGAGTTGGGAGTGATAATGTACTGGATACTGAGTGAGAGTGGGGAAGCGTATTCAAAGTTTCCCCATTAGAAGTGCTCAGCAGAGGCACCTGAAAAGGACTAGAATCTAAGCCCTCACATGGTGAAGAGCTTAGAATGAGGGCATGAGGCTAGGAATGCAAATATTCCAAGAATTTGACTGGCTGGAAAGGCCTGAGTCCTTGACAGTGAAACCCCTTTAGAGACTACCATGTGTTGGGTATGCACCAAGTCTGGTGTGGGGAGGGCAGCTTTTTCCCCCTGAGGCCTGCCGGAGAAAGCTTTAAAATGCCTCTGGTCAGATCTGAAAAATCACACCTGGGCTTTTTAGCAAGCAGACTCCTCACACTCTAACTCTGGCACTCCCCCAGAGTTGGCTGAGGCCTCACTTGTTATGGCAGTGGAATCAACTCTTTTCTGTATGGTACTTACTCATTTTATTATAAGGCTACTTATTAAGACCTCACTATATCTCTGAGTCTGTTTCCAGGGTGCCCAGTGAAATGTATTTGAGGTCATTTGGTGAAAGACCCTGAGATGGAAGCAGCCTGCTCTTGTTCAAGCCTCAGTGGAGCTGAAGACAGTACAGGAAGGTGAGGTGACAGATGAGAGGGCCCAGAGCATGCAGGGCCTATTAATTTTTTTAGGTCCATTCCTCTTTTACATCATGATTTCCAACTGCTCTGGAATTATTGAGCAACTATTTTCAGCTAACTTGGGGAGTAAGTCATATGAATTAAACAATCTTTCACTCCTGTTCATTTGTTCTGGCTCTTCTCATCCATGATCTGGCCTCAGAGACCATTTAAATGTGCCTTACTATTATTACCGATGTCAGTTACAATGTGCTGTCTGTCTCTCAGGTCTCTGAAAACTCCTAATCCCTATGCCAGGGCTGCTATAATGAAGTATCACTAACTGGGTGGCTTCAACAACAGAATTTTATTGTCTCTCTGTTCTGGAGACTGAAAGTCTGAGATCCAGGTGCTAATAGGGTTGATTCCTTCTGGGAGCTGTGAGGGAGAAACTATTCCAGGCCTCTCTCTAACTTCTGGTGCTTTGCTGGAAATCTTCAGCAGTTCTTAGTTAATAGAACTATCGCTAAAATCTTCCTTCTTGTTCACATGACATTCCACCTGTGTGCATGTTTATATACATAGCACCCCTCCTTTTGAGCCCACTGATTATGCTGAATCAGTGGCCTACCCTATTTCAGTGTGACCTCATCTAAGTACATGTACAATGACCCTATTTCAAAGCTGTCCACATTCTAAAGATAATTAGATTAGGAATTCAACCTGTGATTTTAGGGGGATGAATCAACCAGTACTACCCTGTATTCTCTGAGGGCTTACTGCAACAAACATGTGTTCTGTTCTACAGAGAAATGGGGGAAAATTCCACTGTCTCCCACTCCATCATGCTCCAGCGCTCTGGCAATAAAGAAACTGGTCTATTGGCCCACATGTCATCCAGATTCACCAAAAACTAGACCTTCAGCTCCCTCCTGCTGCTCCTCACTTCCTCATGCCTGGTGCCACTTGGAGGCTTTGGAGAAGACCAACCTTTGATGTTTTCTTCACTTACCCCGAGTCGTGGTGCCTGTGGCCATAGTTGTGCTCTTGCATCACTATAATTAAAATGAAATATTAAGTGATAGAGATCTAACCTTCCCCCCACCAGGTTTTCGAAGACAGGGAGATAACCCTTCCTCCCTTGCCCTCAATCTAAAGACAATCACCTACCTGGGCCACTGTTTGTGTACAGTTCACATGTTTTCTCTGTCTGCATGGATTTTTGCTGGATAGTCCAATTTCCTTCCACATCCCAGAGATACGCATGCAAGTTAGGTGAAGTGGCATATCTAAATTGTCTAAGTGTAAATGAGTATGTATGTGTGTTTGAGGACAGGGGTAATGGAGTGTGCCCTGTGATGGAAGGGTGTTTTGTCCAGGGTTTTACCAGGATAGATGTTGGGCACCAAAGACCCAAAACTGGAATAAGAGGGCCGCAAAATGAATGGATGAATGTATACAAATGACTGTTTATTATTTGAAGTGTTTTGGTTCTTTATTTAGAAGCTTGGTGATGTTTTTTGTGACCAGAAATATGCTATAGGAGCTTAACTCTTGTTTAAATCAATTAGCCTGTGATAAAATCTGTTTCATTATAGGTAGTTTCACTTAGAGTTGCAGTTTCCAAGAACCTATTGATGACCTTAAGTGAGGACTTACTGCATATGACTGTTGAATTGGATTATGGCTTGCTGAAAGCTGACACTTAAGTAATGCAAAGTTTATCTAAGTGACTTGGGAAGTAAGGTAGATATGCAATAACAGAGATGGAAGCTTAGGTTTGAGAAAGTGCTTGTTATCCTTGAGAAATCTTTTTTTTACTGCTTTGGAGAAATTTTACCATCCAATTTTAAAAAGGACAAAGCAAACTTTTGTTGAAATGCTTACCAGCTGAATACAATTTCATTGGTCAGATCCCACCATGCATTCTGTCCTGTGCCCACTCCTTCCCAAATGAAATTTCCAACAGGAACAGATAAATCAATTTTGGCCTTTTAAGAATGGATTTTGCCAGTATTTTTGATTGTTTTTGTGCTCTTTGTATGATTTTACTCAATTGATGTAATTTTAACTTTATATATGTGAAAATAATTTTCTTAATTTAACCTCTATTGAGGCAACATTGATTTACAGTACTGTGTATGATTCAGAGGTATAGGATGATGCCCTTCATGTGTATGTTACCACACCACACCCTCCATCATAGTTCACTGTGCCCCCTCCCTATTAGGCTCTCTTTCATCCTCAGTTCTACAGTTAGGGTTGTAAGATTTTTATTGGCTTTGTTGTATTTGACCCTTTGATTTGTTCCTGTATATTCCACATAAAAGTGATACTGTCTAGTATTTGTTTTTTTCCTGACTTATTTCACTTATCATTATCCCCCCCAGCTCCATCCATGCTACTGCAAATGGTAATAGTTCATCTTTTTATATAGGTGAGTAGTATTCCATTATTCAAGTATACTACATCTTCCTAACCCACTCATGTATCATTGAGCACTTAGGTTTTTTCCATACCTTGACTATTGTAAATAGTACTGCAATGAATATAGGCATGCATTAATCCCTTCAAATCAGCGTTCTTGAATTCTTTGGCTAGGAACCCAGGAGTGGATTGCTGGATCATATGATAGATGAGAATAGATCAATTGAGAATGATCTTTATTTGCATATGTTTTTTCTCTTGTGTTAAACTTTTTTTTCAATCTTTTCCTCCTAATCTTTCTAGTAGTAATACAACTACTACTTTGATGGGTGGATTTCTTTCTTTTTTTGAAGACACTCAAAATGGAATACATAAAATATCTGTGAGCGTTAAAACAAAAAATAGAGGTTTTTTTTTTTTTCTGGTGAATTAAAAAAAAAGAGTAAATCAAGAGTAAATAAATTCAGAAACATATGAACACCTGGACAATTAGCAATCAAAGCAGTCAGACATCATTTTGACTCAAAGTCCAAAATCCTGAGTATACCTATATTACAATCTTTCTATTTCAAAAGATGAAGCCCCCACCAAACAAAACAAACTGCTGCATCTCTTGACAAACTGTGAGACCTCCATTAAGATAGCTTTCCAACCCAGTGATTGGAATTGATGACAAAGCCAATTGAGGACAGACAAAAATAATGCTTATATACAAAATTCTTAAATACAGTTCAGTTACATATCAATGAATTTTAAAATAGTAAGGGAATCTTTCTCATTGTGTAGACAAAATAATGAAATATTACCTTGATGTTCCTGCATTGCTATAATATCAAGCAAGTTGAAGAAAAATTAAAACTTTAGAAAATGTCAATGATAAAGATCTAAGTAAAATCTATTTTTCTGGATCAAGAATACTTTATACATATAAAAACAAAGTCACCATTAAAGACTACTTGAGAAAAACTGAACTAGTGATATAAATTATAATTTTAAGTATGAAAATAAATGCAAAGGATTTAAATTATACTGAGTATTCAGCATTAGTTAGCACTGTGATTCTGCCTGGTTGTTAACTTGTGCCTGACTCAGGTTTGTACATTTAGGGGTGCAAAATAGACTCTTGGAATAATCATTTGACAGGCAGATGTTTACTGTTCTAACACAATTGAGTGACTGCGTAGTCAAAATAACTAGTTAATTTTGTTAAAATAAAAGCAAATTTTGCCATTTAAGAATAAAAATTCCTATAATGCACTTTTGCTATGTTTCAAGCACAGTAGGCACTAGTTTAGTGATAACTATTGCCCATGTAATCAACACAACTACTAGTGTGTGTTGTAAGTCAACTAGGTAAGTGGTAGCAGAGGTAAGATCGTGAAATCTGCTGAAACCAAAGTCTGTGCTCTTCTGTAATACATGAACTTATGATATTGATGGATGTATACAGATGTTCATCAGCAATTCCTTACAGTGCATCACGGATTTAATACTCTTAACTGATTAATTGCAAATCAGTGGTCTGGTATTAGAAAGCATTAAGTCATTTATTCAGATACATTAGGCACATGGATTCTTAATGAATTCTTGTTGGATTCATTTTTCACAGGTATACTACAATCATAATAGACCCTTTAAACCTAAACAACAGTTAGCTTTTGCTCGCCTCAGCAGTGTATTTCAGTCGATCTGCCTGTTCTGTTCCCCACTCTGTCTCTGGTGAATCCTCTAACCCCCCGCACCTCTGGCCTGTACCCAAGTTCTTGCATGTATAAATAAATAAATCTTTATTAAAAAAAAAACAACAGTTAGCTTTTAAAAGGAGATAGAGATAGATAGATAGATAGATAGATAGATAGATAGATAGATAGATAGACAGATAAAATTATCTTGATCACTCTGGCAACACAAAAGTCTCTAATTTTTATTCTTTCCATTTCCAATACCAGCAAGCTCAATGAATATTACAGGAGAGCATAGGGATCTCTGGCTCAGATTTACAAAGTGAAATATGAATGCCAACAAGCAAGAATTGATCATTACTCATCAGGGGAATTAAAACCATATGAGATAATACCACACACCCACTAGAATGACTAAAATTTTAAAAAGATTTTCAGTACCAAGTATTGGCAAGAAAAAGGGGCAATCAGAACTCTTAACCTTGTATCATTAGAAAATAATACAACTACTTTGGAAAACAGTTTGGCAGTTTCTAATAAAGATAGCCATATAACTATTGTATGACTCAATAATTCCACTTATAGACCCCAAAGAAATGAAAACAGATGTCCAGAAAATGACTTATTCATGAATGGTCATAACAACTTTATAATACTCAAAAACTGGAAACAAGCCGGGTATCATCAGTAGTTGAGTGGATAAACACATTATGACATATTGACACAGTGGAATACTAAACAGTAATGAAAAAATAAATACTGATGTACATAAACATGGATGAGTCACAACAATGTGAACAAAAGAAGCTGAAATGAGTACATTCAATCTGACTATTAATACAGAAATGAGAGAATATAATAGTGGTCTTTGGACTGGGATATTGACTAGATTGTGGCAAAGAACAATTTTATAGGATGATTGAAATGTTCTATAGTTTGATTTGGATGATAGTTGCATACATGGATATATAATTTATCAAAATTAATCAAAATACAAACCTAAAATCTTTGGATTCTACTTCATATAACCTATACTTCATTAAAATTTTAGAAAGCAATTTGCAAATCAATAAACAAATAAAACAGATCAACCACCTTCCTATCACCAAATGAGTTTCCAAGTCTGTGGTGCACATAGTGCCCTGGATTATGGGAATCTTCATATCTATAAAGTAATCTTTAGAGCAAATAATTCCCATTTCCCATTGGGCTAGCTAGCTGACCTTTGTTGGGACCACCCTCCCATAAAAAGTAGGTATTTATCTAGAGATGCAATTAGTTGGGGATAAAAGTCTCAGTGAAGAGAACTTAGGCAGTGGTTAGCTCTACTGCAATGAAACTACATAAATGGTAAAGTGGCCTCCAGGGAACAAATGTGATCTTTCATCCCTTTTAAGGAAAAAACTATCAGGCTACAGTGGCAGAAAAAGGACAATAAATACCAGTATGGGAGAATTTCCTGAATAAAGTACATGAGTCTGAATTAAGTCCTCAGTGGAGGGTAGGAACAAGAAAGAACTTAAAGTGAAAGGTTAGCAGCAGGGAGTTGGAAAAAATGGACACGTGTGTTTTAGCAACCAGAGGAAGAAATTGCCTGGCTAACCATGAAGGAGTGTTTTAAAAGGACAACCACCCTCCCACTCCCACCGCAAACACACACATACACACACACACACACACGTGCACACACGCACGCACGCTCGCGCACGCACACACACACACACACACACACACACAGAAGATCAGGTTGTGGTCAAGGACAACACTGTTCCGGATGTTCTGGGTTGCCTTGGACAGTGGCAGGAAATCATTTTGACAGAATGTCTTCCTTTATTAACCTGTGATTGCATCATGCAGATATACCCACCGTCTGTGTTTTATACACACTTCAAAGTAATATATTAAAGGGAAAGAATTATAAACGCTAGAAATCTGGAATCTCCCTTTGAAAAAAACAAGCTAAAAGTAATTTAAATTAAAATACACTGATTAAAATAGCCCTGTTTCAGATTTTGAGGCATGCTGTTTCTTTCTGATTATTATCTCAGTTACTTAATATAAACCACTCCTAGATCAAGAGAATCAGGCAGAAATTTTGTGATAACACTCAGGAACTATTCACAAGCAGCCAAAAACAGCTTCATAGATAGCCTCCTGAAGACATTCAATAAGTCTGTTATAATCAGCACATGATCCTCAAGAAATGAGAATAAGAAACAGCTGTTTTGTAGCAAATCCTAACTACAGTAGGGATTAATTCTAAACTCATGTCACATTTAGTCAGTTTTCATTTGGGACAACAGGGAAAATCTTTGCCAGGCTAAGGGCAATTATGCATTTGTCAAAACAGATGAAACATAAAATGTTCATTTTGTTTTTCTCTCAGATAAATATTTTTACGGAACATAGAATCTTTTAATGTTGAAATAATCAGTGAAGAAAGACTTCAACAGTTTTTGTGCTCTGCCTTTTCTGCTCTGCTTCATTGTTTTAAATCTGGTCTTAACTCATTTTGAAAATTGTTTGGTGGTGCTGATGAATCTCTCTGCTCCCCTTCCCTTCTTTATTTGTCTCCATATTTAATTCATTCTTCATAGTCCAACATAATGCTACCAAAGGGGCTTTTTACTCATGGGTATGACCATTTCTAAGGATAAGAAAATTGTAATTAAGGCTCATTCTTTAGGATTCTAAGAACTTGAATTTGAATCCCAGGCCCACCATTTATGAACCACGTGACTTAAATGTTTCAGCATGTCCATTGCTGCATCGGGGATGAGGATCATAACAGTGACTTATTCACATAGTTGCAATGAAATAATGCATGTGAGGAACAGTATGAGCACATGGAAAGTACCGAATACCATAGCTATCATGGTGGTGATAATAATGTGAAATGCTTTAGAGGTACTTTTACATTTTAATTCAATAGGAACTACCTGCAGAAGGGTGATAGGAATGAATTCTGACTCAGGGAGGCTGGGAGCCTGAGTCTGCCTAACCAGCTCACTCCCACGGGATGTCCATCTTGTGGACTGTGCACCACACTTGGAATTACAAGGATCCCTGTCCCTTACTGTGTTCTGATTCACTGCCAGTCTTGTGTTACTTTCCTTCCTTCTCTTGACCATGAGATTTAGTGAATTTGTAGCTTTCAAAAGACCAAAGATTCATTAAAAGAGAAGTAGTTTTTGTTTGTTTCAGAGGCAACAATGGTTTTTAACAATGTCTATAATTTGGAAGTATAGGGTCACACGCTTCAGATGTATGTTACCGCACCACACCCACCACCAAGGCACTGACAGTCTTCCAGTGCCCGTTGTGTCCCCTCT